CTCGGCGGGGTGATCGGACGGCGGCGCCGAGGCTCCCGTCCAGACGCGCAGCGGCACGGACGGCTCGGAGGACGCGTCTCCCCTCCGCTCCGGGCCCTCCGCGTGGCAGTCCGCGCGGACATCCTTCTCGTTTCGTTCTGAAGACAGGGTCTCAACACACACAGCTTAGACCGGCCTCAGCTCGCGATCCCCCGGCCCCTAGGGTTCTGGGACTGCGGGCCAGCGCCCGGCCTCGAGCTGAAAGCCGGCAGCCCTGCACGGAACCCCGCCGCGGCGCCCAGGGGCAGGGCGGCGCTCGTAGAGGAAGGGGCGGGGCTAGGAGCGGAAGGGGCGGGGCTCCGGCCGCCCGGCTCCGCTCGCGGACACTAGTAGTGGCTGCTTGCGCTTCGCCTCACTCTTACGTCACGCTCCAAGCATCGCTTGAATGATGTTTCTAGAAGTGCTAGTTTCAGGGTACGTTTTGATGTGCTCCCGCCTTAGGCTGACTGGCAGAATAGGCGCTATTCGCCCGGTCCCTTTCACTGACATGGCGCCGCCATCTTGAGTAAGGAGTCGTGGGGGCCGCCATCTTGCCCGGGCGGGAGAGTATTTCCGGTTCCGGTGAGGGCCGCTCGCTCTTTTTCTCCGCAGAGCCGCCGAGGGAGCGGCTGTGGTCTCCGTCTCTCTCAACTATCCGGCGCCATCCTCGTCGCTGCGGCGACCCCCGCGCCCGCCGCCGTCATGACTGAACAGATGACCCTCCGTGGCACCCTTAAGGGCCACAATGGCTGGGTAACTCAGATCGCCACCACCCCGCAGTTCCCCGACATGATACTGTCGGCCTCTCGAGGTACGGGATGAGTGCGGGCTGGAGGCAGGGACTGTCGGGTCGGGAGTTGTCAGGCCTGCCAGTTACCTCTACCTGGGTAGGAATTGGAGCGGGCAGGTCTGAGCCTGCGCCTCAGTCCGGGCCCACCAGCTGGAGGAGCACAGGGAGACTTGAGTCGTCCTAGCCACCTCCCGTGGTGCAGTTAAGGCTAGGCGGGGGTCTGCAGACCGGGCAGAGCGGTGATGACTCCAACATGCCATCTGAGTGCCAGTGCTGAAATCCAGAGGCTGTTTCTGAGCTACCGCCTGGTCCTGGGCTCGGGGAAGGAGCGGGTGGTCTCTGGAGGGGCCACGTGAAGCACACCTCCGGCCCTTGGTACCACGAGCTCTCTCCCTTGTCCCTGATGGCGTTGAGACCTTCTGGCGCCTTTTCGCTTTGACATAAGAAATAATAGACTCGTACTTAAACACAAAATCGTCAAATTTGTGGAGTGGGACACATTTCTGAGCATCCACTTGTTTAGCCCATAGAGAAATCTTTCATTTCACACAGGTTATGTCACTGTGGGCTTTTTCTTTTTTGCTGTTACCACGGATTGGATTTAGGGCCTGGACACTTCCTTAGCTAATTTCTAGCTCAGGCTGGAGCTTCATGACACGAGCTAAAGCTCCACTTGTTGCTTTTTGCTGGATATATGGGGTTAAGAGTCTCGGATTAATAGATGATAACTTGGATTTTTTTAATCTCCCCTTTCAGACAAGACCATCATCATGTGGAAGCTGACCAGAGATGAGACCAACTATGGCATCCCACAGCGTGCTCTGAGGGGTCACTCCCACTTTGTCAGTGATGTGGTCATCTCCTCCGATGGCCAGTTTGCCCTCTCAGGCTCCTGGGATGGAACCCTACGCCTGTGGGATCTCACAACGCAAGTAGCTACTCTGGGGCTTAGGGAAAGGCTGGGCAGAAATGAGGTAGAGGCCATGGGAGGGGAGTTCCCTGGGGAAATCCAGGCCCTGTATGGAAGATGAAGTGGGGACCACCCACAGAAAGTTTCAGCTTAACCTAGTTCAGTTAGCTAGTGAAGATTGTTTTTGGTGCTGTGGCTTGAAGTTAGGGTCTTGAACTTCACCTGCATCCCAGGTTTTTGCTTGTTAATAGACTTGTATCTTAAGGAAGGCCTTCCCTGCCTGGATTGGTGTAGTTGGGTATTTTTTCCAGTATGGTCAAGTAGGGATAATAGAGGATCCTGGTGATGACAGAAGACATTGTCAGCCAAACCCCACAAGGGAATGAGGACATGTCCTGCAATTCTGAGTGGATTCTCTGGCACATAATCAGCCAAAGGCTTCCTGTGGCCCAGGGTTGTGTGATGTAGACTCCTGGGGCAAGGACAGGGTCAAAAAGCGGTGAGAAGGAAGTCTATAATTGTGACCAAGTTCTTCCTTTCAGGGGCACCACCACAAGACGATTCGTAGGCCATACCAAGGATGTGCTGAGCGTGGCCTTCTCCTCTGACAACCGGCAGATTGTCTCTGGATCCCGAGACAAAACTATCAAGTTATGGAATACTCTGGGTGTCTGCAAATACACAGTCCAGGTAACTTAATGGCAGTGGCACTCTTCACTTTGACTTTACGTGGTGTTTCTAGGTCGATTCTCAAAGGATTCTGTTGGGGCTTAAGGTTAGGTAGGGTTCATTCTGAATTCAAAACTGCAGATGGAACAGGGACCTGGGAAGAAGGATCGGAACTGTTTCCTTTCATATCCTTGTAGGATGAGAGTCACTCTGAGTGGGTTTCCTGTGTCCGGTTTTCACCCAACAGCAGCAACCCTATCATCGTGTCTTGTGGCTGGGACAAGCTGGTGAAGGTAAGCTCCAGGCAAGGGTATGGTAGGGCTCATTGCCAAAGTATTTTCATCACCCCTGAGATGGTCAGGGCTCCAACTCTGGATAATTAGACTTCAGCTGACCATTTTTCTTGCTATTTTCCCTGTACTAGTCCATTTGACATTTGATCTAAAGCAGTTCATTGATGTGCTTTGTAATTATCTCATGGCATTTTAACATCTGTTTTATTCCAGTTTTCTGTTTTACTGGTTTGAGTTTATAGTCTCCAGCTTTCCAGCATAGGCTGACTTCAGTTCTCCATCTCAGCCTCCAGAGTAGCTTGGTTTTCAAGTGTGAGCCACATCTCCACTGCAGTCTTTGGTGCCTGTATTAACCTTAGATGACAAAGTTTTTTGTTATTAGTAAATAATTTGCTATCTTAGCTCAGGCTGGCCTCAAATTAATCCTTCTGCTTAGCCTTGTGGATACTGGGGTTTAATAGACATGTGCCACATCCAACTCAGGAGTTTTTAAACAGCTGTTGCAACTTCATTATTACAGACTTAAGACTCTAATCCTGCCCAGTTCAGAGGTGAATTTCCACCCATAGTCCTTTTATCTTCATAGGTATGGAATTTAGCTAACTGTAAGCTGAAGACCAATCACATTGGCCACACAGGCTATCTGAACACGGTGACTGTCTCTCCAGATGGTTCTCTCTGTGCCTCAGGAGGCAAGGTATTTGGCTAAGCATCTCAGTGGGGAGTAACTGTAGAAAGAATAGTGTCTGGCGAAGACAAGCTGTTGGGACAACTAAGCATCATTTTGTTTTGTTTGGTGGTACTGAAGATTGAACACAGTCTGTCTTAAACAAGCTAGTACTCTCATCACCTAAGCTTTGCAAGGTACACAGTGTCTTATGCAAACTTGGTTTAAAGCAACAGAAAAAATTAGTCCTGTGATTTTATGTCAGTACTGGAGATTGAATGCAGCCCTTTTGCTTAGTTCTAGCACTCTACCACTTGAGCCACACCTCCGTCTTGGCTTTTTACTCATTATTTGGAATGAGTTTTCAGATTTGTTTGCCAGGGCTGGCTTGGAACCAAATTTTGCGATCTCAGCATCCTGAGTAGCTAGGGATGTGTAAGATGTAAGCCATAGGTTCCTAACCAAAATCCTGTGGGGTTTTTGCATATAAGGTTTGGGAGGGCATGCTGTGGTTGACTTCAGGATTACTAATTGACTTATTCAGCTGTTTTGGCCAGATAGCTGGTCCAGTAGGTATAGTGCCACATACTTACCTGGTCTTCTACTTAATGTTTTTTGTTGGGTGTGGCACATAAAAGCTTTGATAATAAGTGAGTATAGATTAATTAGTCACTGGCTTCCAAGAAACCCAGTGTATTGGGAGAGATAATTGGTGGACTTGTGGAAGAGATCACCTTGTCCTCACTTCACTCTCTCCTTTCCTGTGCTCAGGACGGCCAGGCCATGTTATGGGATCTCAATGAAGGCAAGCACCTGTATACACTAGATGGTGGGGACATCATCAATGCCCTGTGCTTCAGCCCCAACCGCTACTGGCTCTGCGCTGCCACAGGCCCCAGCATCAAGATTTGGGTATGTATGGGCTATGTTACAGACTGAGCACCTGGCTGGACACCACTACAGCATCGTGGCTGTCACTGATCGCTTGTGGCAGTAGTTAGAATGACAGTGGGACATTTGCCTACTAAAAGGGATGGTTATGCCTAGCTTGCTCAACATCATTCTTGTTCCTCTTCTGGTCTCTTGCTACTTGTCTCCTAGAGAGCAAAATCCTCTCAAAAATAAGCTAATAAGGGCATTTTAGCAAGAAGCACTCTAACTAGGGTTAGCAATATAGAAATGTACTGCTAATTGTAGTTTTTGACCTATTCTCAGGACTTAGAAGGCAAGATCATTGTAGATGAACTCAAACAAGAAGTTATCAGCACCAGCAGCAAGGCAGAGCCACCCCAGTGCACCTCATTGGCCTGGTCGGCTGATGGCCAGGTAAGTGGACCTGTCCTCAGGACTCAAGCCAGGCAGGCCACAAAGGTCAGCCAGGTCAGTAACTTGGGATTAGTTTCTAGAGAGGAGTGATCACTAACCTTTAGTTACCCAGCCGTTCTTCTGTGAGTCAGAATCCCCTACACTGTTAGAGGGGCCCCAAGGTACCTTTTTTGGTACTAGTTTGACTGACTTGAACTTTTGCCATTGTCTCTCCTTTACAGACTCTGTTTGCTGGTTATACTGACAACCTGGTGCGGGTATGGCAGGTGACCATCGGCACCCGCTAGAAACTATGACAGAGCGTTAAAAATAAACTGGCTTTCTAAAACTGGTTTCAGTCTTTTTTATCTCCTAAGCAAAATGAAGGAAGGACCCCAAACCATCTATCAGTTAAGAACTCATCTACAGCACTGGAAGTAAGACAAACTTATAAGCTGAATAAACCTTGTGGCCAGGTTTTATGGCGCTATGGTTAAATGTCATGTCACCATTGTGAGATGATCCAGACCTACCTTAAATCCGGGGGATTCTAGGACGCTGTGTGTAAGCCTGTCCACTGTCTACAAAGGAGTCACACCTCACTCCAGAACTTCAAAAGAGTTTCATAATTCCAGCACTGTACCATTCAAGCATTAGGACCCTCTCCCACTTCTAAACTAAATTGGGGATGGGGTAAAAGCTAGACTTCAGGCTTAAAAAAAAACAGCTGGCTGGGCTGGGAAGGTGGCTCAATGGTAGAGCGCTTGCCTTGCATGTATGAGGCCTTGGGTTCGATTCCTCAGCACCACACAAGCAATGGAGAAAAAAAGCCAAAAGTGACACTGGCTCAAGTGGTAGAGTGCTAGCCTTGAACTGAAGAGCTGAGGGACAGTGCCCAGGCCCCACGACTGGACCCCCCCCCCCAAAAAAAAAACACCAGCTGGCTAGTTGTACTTGATGCCCCACCACAATCCTTTTGATCAATCCACAATTGAGATAAATGCATGGTGGGAGTCACTGCAAGGTGGTTTTTTTTTTTTTTTGTCGGTCGTGGGGCTTGAACTCTGAGCCTGGGTGCTGTCCCTCAGCTCTTCAGCTCAAGGGCAGCGCTCTACCGCTTGAGCTACAGCGCCACTTCCGGTTTTCTGGTGGTTTATTGGAGATGGGAGACTCACGGTTTCTCCTGCCCGGGCTGGCTTTGAACTGCGATCCTCAGATCTCAGCCTCCTGAGTAGCTAGGATTACAGGCGTGAGCCACTAGCGCCCGGCTAAGGTGGTATTTTTATATATTGCCATAACTAGTTTTTGTGGACATGCATGGTAAGGTCCTAACATTTTTGGTGCTGGAGACATTTAGGACCTTGCCTGTACAGTTGAGCCACACTCCTGAGCTTAATTCTGGCTAAACGGGTACCATAAAATGTGTACCATTCCTCTTAACATCGAAGTATGGCTTAATAGCACACCCCTGGAGACTCAGGCTTGTGAGTCACTGAAGTGTTGCAGACTTCAGGCCTACCCTAACTTCAAATGAGTGGTAGGTGAAGAGTAAGGTCCTAAGATAGTCCCTCAAGCAGGAAGTGATGCTGTGGCTGAGGAAGTCACTTTAAGCAGTCATCCACTCAGCCTGTTTCTGCTCATCTAAAGACATGGGGCTCCACAAAAGAAGCAAATAAACATTTTATTTCTGCAACACAACCCACCTTCCCTTTTTTTAACCCCCAAGAACATGAACTGACCTCAGGCACCAAAGCAGAGGACAAAAGCTGATAAATGACAGAAGGCAAGGGGTTACTAGAAAAATAGATTATACCCAAAGCTCTTCTCAGGGGACCCAACCCCTGTCCTTATCCCCAGACTCCCCATCTGGGTTTACCAAATGGAGGAACTAAAAGGCATGGGGAGAAGCTAGAAACTGACAAAAGCAACTTCACTGGACGAAGGAGGGGAGGAGCCTGGCAGTGAACAGACCTTGAGGATAGGGTGGGCCGAGCTTGGCTCCTACATTGCCAGAAATAGGAAGGGGGAAAATAACTTATTGGGTGATGTAATGGTATGTAGTTTCAGTCATGTCGACCATCCCAGATCTCTCACTGAAGCTAAGTTCTGGCCAGTCTATGGAGGTAGAAATCGGGGATGGAAGGAAGGTTTAGAATTCCTCCTATCCCGCAAGAGTAGACATTTCTTTACCCAGCTCTACCCTTTTGCCCAGCCTGCCTCCCCACAATTTCCAAATCCTTTAGCTAAAATTTGCACCAGAAAATGGAATGATTCTTTGTTACGTCCTGTCCACACCCTCCAGTCTCAGAAATGACAAAAGTTAAAGAGTAGGGGTGGTTGGGGGGAAAAAAAGGAATGAAAATTACTCTTCCCCACATCCCCTACTCAAACTCTGACCCCAGGGCTGAACTGGGCTAGGCAGACAGGAAGGGAGGGAAAAAATCAGGCAGCTGTTCTCATTATCAAGGGGACCCATGCAGACCTGTTGGACAGACAGTAGGTGAGAGAAGGCTGAGCTGGAAGCCAGGAGGGTTCTTTAGGCTCCTATAGGGAGAAGCAGGGGCCAAGAGGGAGCAGGAAGCAACACAGTAACAAACAGAGGGAGGAGCCCTGGAGCTCCCCAACTTACGGGCCACCATCCACCACCACCCGCCCCCCCAGTGCGGACCAGAGGGGCCCCCGCGGGTGGCAGGCTAATCAGGGGCAGAGCTTGATGCGGGTGCCCTTGGAGAACACCCTGAAGAAAGGGAAGACGCGCTCGCCCAGGAAGGCAGCCGAGAAGGTGTGCACGTGAGCTAGAGTCTCCGCATTGTAGAAGCCCAGGCGCCCGGCCTCATAGTCCAGGTACACGCCAAAGCGCCTTGGTTTCTCACACGGGCTCAGCAGCGTCTGCTCGGTTGAGCTCTGTGCCTGGTAGCGTTTGCCGTGGGTGCCCACACACCACACTTCTCTCTGGAGCAGGAGCTGCTGGGGCAGGTGGAGCCGGCGCCGGCGATGGTGATGGCGTGAGGAACTGGCATCCCCACTGCCCACAGAGGACCCCCCAGGGCCCATTTTTTCTTTATGATGGGTTGATTCTCGGGCAGCACCCACCGCCCACCCCCGTCGCCCGCCCACTTCTACCTCCCAGTAGTGCCGGCCAGAGCGGAAGCCCTGGGCCCCCAGTACACAGCAGTCACTGGAGAAGCGCTTGGAATGATCCGCCACCTCCGGGCGCCGCTCCGCCATGCGGACCCCCCGACGGTCAGGGGACAGCAGCAGGGCTGGATGAGCCGTGTCGGGATCCAGCGTCAGGTCCACTTGGGAGAAGGAGGACAAATATGCCAGGGCTACAACAGCTCCTCCCCAGCAGCGGCCAAGCTCTGCGGCTCCTGCTCACTTGGCCTCCTCCCCCATCGCGTTCACGAGCCCTATGCATTCTAGAGACCAGGCTCCCTTCCTGTGGACTCCCCTGCTTTCTCCTCGCTGGTGCCCAGGACTGCAGGCAGGCAGGCAGGCAGGCAGGCCTCCTCCCTGTCCCTGACTCTCTAGCCTCCTTACCTCACCTCCAAAACCACCTGGCCTAGGACAGATGCCACTCTTGGCCTCAACCCTGAAGGTGGCCTACCTAAAAGCCTGTTCCACCACCTCATCCCCTACGCTTGCCGAGACCCAACTTCCCTCGGAACTCAACTTCAGGTCTGTCAAGGGCAAGGCAAAGAAAGGTCGTATAGGTTACCTCCCTACCTCTTGCAGCCTGACAAAACATCCGGCTCATTTTCCTCACGATGGCGTCTGTCAGGAAGTCATGGCTATGGGGTTGGCACGGGTCAGGGGACCAGATCTCTGGCGGCTGCAGTTGTACCTCTTCACACCTGGAAGAAGGGGACCGGGCAGGGGGTGGGACTATGATTTTCCCAGAGGGAAGAACAGAAAGTGAGGGGAAGGAGAGGAGGGGCTAGGAGGCAGAAACTCAGGTCCTGGGGAAGGAGAGGAGAGGAGAGGAATACCCAAGAAAGGCATGGATGGGGAGCCAGATGCTACTGGGTCACAAAGGGCATAGCGAGCACACACCTATTGAAAGTCTCCTTGATGTCCTGGGAATAAACAAGAGAAGAAGAGGGAGAAAGAGACAAAGAGAGTGTCAGCTGCACAAGGACCACTGCTTCCTCCCAATCTCCAGAAAAAGCTCTTGAGTGTCAACAGCAAGGGAGAAAGCAACACCCTCAGGCCCAATGAGCATGTGCCTGTCCATCCACCCCCACGCCTCACTCACTCAACCCGGGAACAGAAACTCCACATGGCACTTGATCACCTCTTTGAGGTGTCAAAACTGCTCTTCAACTCTCGTTTAAATTCTTCCCTCTACAACTGACCTTTTCTTTGGCTATCATTGTCTCATACTACATTCAACATTGTCTCTAGCTCCCCAAACTAGAGCCCACGTGGGTTCTTCCCAGGGACAGCTCTGACAAGGTAAAAAGGGACTCGGAGAAGGGGACAGTCACCTGGAGCAGCCGCAGGCCTCCCTGCTGGCTCCGCTCCTGGGCCTCGGCCAGCAGGCGGCTCAGCTGGGCAGCCTGCTCGGCGAGGCGGCTGGCCGCTGCTCCGGCACGCCCCAGCTGAGCCTCGTGCATCTCTCGAAGGCGCCGCTCCAGCCCTGCCTGTTCCTCAGCCAGAAACCGTGTCAGCCGCCCAAACTCTGATGCCACAGCCGCCAGCTCTGACTTCATCTGGCTCTAGAATAATGCAAAGACAACACATGAACAGTAAACCCCCAGCTCTCTAACTTCTGCCTCTTCCTCCAAGGCAAAGCAGCCCAAAAAAAGACCTCAGGGTGGAAAGGGTCCACTCTTTCTCTACCTCTTGGTCCTACTATCCCCCCTGGTCCCCGCACACTGGTTCCACGCTTACCTGGTCCCCGCACACTGGTTCCATGCTTACGGACCGTCACTGCCTGGAGTAAGTAACTTGATGCACCCAGAGGGCTTACGCGTTCCAAGATAAGCCTTCTTCCCCTTCCGAACCCCAGTGGGTTTTCACCTCTTACCAGTGCCACTGTTCACACCCTCCAGGGTATAGACAGGGCTAGAAATTCTTTATAAATGAGGGGTTTTTTTGGAGACAGAGTCTTGTTGTGTAGCCCAAGCTAGCCTTAACTTGAGATACTCTTGCCTCAATCATCTGAGTGTTGGAATTACAGGCATCACTTGGCTTTGGAGTGCCTTTTAAAATCTATCTTCTCCACTGCACTGTAACCTCCTCCTCTGACAGGATCTGGATCACACCACCACTACCACCCCCGCAGCTCTGAGCCACACCTCCAGACCTGTACGTGTGTGTGTGTGTGCGCGCGCGCGTGCATGCACACATA